ATAAGTCAGAAGATACAATAAATGAATTAACAACTGAAGATTCAAGAACGACCAGTTGCGAAACGGTTCATCAAATTATTTCAGAACAAGATCTATCTGATGTAACAGATTCTTTTATAGAAAGTGCCGTTGAAAAGATCGTTACAAAAGAGTTGGAAAAACAAGAACCATTTATCAAAATTGAAAAGTCGCCAGATCATCCATCTGGGAAGGTCGCACTTGAATCTGATGCAACATATACATTTTTCGCTCTTTCGAGTGAAGATCTAAATGAAAACGATCAGTATCCTCGCACTTGCGAAGCAGACTTAATGGATTCCAGTTTTGCAATGCTTTCAATGCCCACTAGTGAAGAAACCATAGTTACCAGTTATGCGCAACCAGTTGAGCCTATTGCGTTGGGAGCATTATCTGTAATAGCTGAAGAAGATGAAAAAAGATCAAGTTCACAAAGCAAAACAACTAGCTCATCAGAAAAATTAGAGCAAGAAACAACAACTTCTACGTCAGATTCTTCAAAGAAAAAGCATGAAATGTGTCACATAAAATCAGCTGAAAAATTTAAATCCGCGAAAAAACTGATGGAAAAAGACAACATGTCGGCGTCGTCATCTCTATTAGAATTTGAATGTCTTGAAAAAGAAATACAGGAAAAAGGTAGCATTGATTCCGCCTCTTTGGGAAAATTTCCATGTAAAAAACCCATAGAAAAAGATGATATTTCAGTAACCTCTTCACTTGCAGAGTTTGAAAAATTTGAGCATGAATGTATGATTCCATCTGATTCTCAAGGAACAGGTTCAAAAAGTTCAGGGTCTTCCGCTATCGAATTGGATTTTAATAGAAAAAGTCACCTCCATCCAGAACTTCGATCATCGTCTTCTTCTTTGGCAGAATTCGAACAACTAGAGAAGCAAATGAAAGTTGATGAAGAACTTTCAATTGAAGCTCAGAAAGTGGCTAGCATGTTAGAAAAAGGGTCTTTGCCGTTGCATGACGACATTTCAGATAGCGATTCAAGTAAAGAGAAATCGTATAAAGATGACACGTTGTTAAAAGGGCAGCAAAATGAATTTGCATCAATCTATCCACCTTATCAGGATATAGTTCAAATAATAAGAAATGTTTCAGAAAACCAAGAAATGTTCGAAAAACAAAAATCACCAAAGAGAAGTTTGTCTAAAGATTCTTTACAAGACCAGTCCTTAGAAATGACGGAAAGCATTTTATCTACTGCGGGACAGACGTCAATGATAGATTCCATAGAAGATATGAAAAAATCTGAAAATCTTATGGCCATTTCAACCGATTCATTAGTAGCTGTAGAAAATTACGAACCCTTTCAAACAACTTTTCAGCCAATACAAGGCACAATGTTTGCTTCGACTGATTCTCTTGAAATGCTAGACAGTCAAACTATTCGTACATTTGATAAATCATGCGATTCATTAGAAGATCAACAGCAATATAAACGCAGTTTTGATACCGATTCTCTGCAGGATATGTCGGCACAAATCACTAAAAGCATGTCACAAGATTCATTGAAAGAAAGTATGGATATGTCCATCGATATGTCTATGTCAGAATCTGGAGCATGGAGTCAATGTAGCTCTCAAAAATCATCCGTTACCCTTGTGTCAGGTAAAGTATCGGATGACAGTGTTCTTATGCAATCAAGTTCTAAGACATCCTCTTTCCACGAAACAGAAACGGCTTTTCAACCTTTTGATAAGACACTAGACAACTTGGCATCACTACAGCGTCAACAGCAAGAAGAAAAGAGAAAAGGTGCTCTTCACGAGGTTGAAGAGATATCAAAACGGAAATCTTTCATTCCAACAGACATATCCCTCCAAGATACAATGATGCAGTCATTTGAAACAGCATCGTCATCAACATCTATCACTCCCCAAGGTAGTAAGTGTATAAGTAATACTTTTATTCAACTAACGCTTGAAGTTTGAAATTTATACTAACCTCATATTGAAAATGTAACAGAAATATTGAATGATAACAGTGATAACATAATTAAAACTTTGCTTTTTCAGGCGATGATCAAAATGAAAAAAGCGATAACGATTGGGAAATAATTGAACGTACCTAAAGTGTGTGATAAGGAAATATTTATTTCGGATTCTCCATTTCCAAAGCATTATATATATATATACACACATATATATATATATATATATATACATATGTATACACACACATATATATGTACATACACATACACACACACAAACAAACACACCCACATATATATATATATATAACAAGTTTACATTTGGTTTTAGAATCTTACACACATAAAAATGCTATATCTGGGCGACAGAAGGCATTGTACAATCAAAAAATTATTTTGAACACGTTTTTTCACTCAATCTACAAACAATTATCTAAAGATATCAATTTGTTTAGTATTTCCCTATAGGACATCGAATATGATGGCAAGTTTTTTCTTTCTTCACTTCAGATATATATTTAAATGTTTTTTTTACTCAATGATACTCTTTGCAGTCTAACTAGTTAACGCGCATTATTTTTTTAGTTTGGTGCTGCTTTTCGATCATACTAAAGAATACGCCATTCTTACACGTTAGAGAGACAGAGAGAGATTGATAATAATTAATTTTAATGATTGCAAATCTCTATAAAGTTTAAAAGGTATTAAATTTTCACGTGCTTTATTGGAAAAACTTTTTTTTTGAGAGTTTCCACCAAGTAAAGATGTGATAGTCAATTAAATTTATTATTTCATATTAATTTACAAAATTGAAAAATGATTATTTGCGTGTGTGTGCTTGAGTGTGATCGGTGTTTTGCTGAACGAACAGATTTTTAAAAAAACTATAAATGTTGATTTAAAATTCATGGTGAAAACAATGTGATATAACTAGAGTGATTGGATGAATGAATGTTATTGACATAATCAAATTTTAACGATTTTTGACAGTAAAATTCAGTTTAATTTTGATCTATACTTAATGCTTTGCAAAACTGTACTGCTTCATTGCTATAGTTTATTTAATATTACACTAATCAAATACAAATACGAGATATAAAAGAAATAATAATACAGAGAAAATAAAACGCTGACACAGAATGCAGCACATACGTATTAATATAATAATAAACCATATTATTCATTTGTCTATTTTGCTTAAGTCTTCATTGTTGCTTTGTGATCATTTGAATTTTGTTGGGTATATATTAATTTGATAGAGTTCAACTCCTTAATGAAAATTCATTTACTTTTTTAAACTTCCATTCATAACTTTTCTCAATTAATATTTCTCTCTCCATTTATATCCTGATATAAAGAATAGTATTGAACATTTAACACATCCATACTTAAGAAAGTTTATTTTTTAAATGCATGAATTTCAACCGTCTCATTATCAATTATGATAAAAATTTTATTTTCTAGTCCATCGTGGTTCACATTTTATTATTTATTCCTATTGTAATTTTAAGTACGGATGCTTACCTACTACTAATAGTTTTACAAACATTATTTCTCAATTTTTATATTTTAGATATTTTAATTTTTTATATTATAAAACTAACAGTATAATGATACATCTTTTAAATCAATTGCTTTACAATTTTACGATATGATAAAAATACTAATATGTACATTAGAAAATCAAAAGTTTTATTAATATCTTCTGAGCTCATACAAAAGTAGGTTTGGTAGACATTCACTTTAAAATTCGCCCATTCATCATTATTTTTTGTAATATATACATTTATTCATTCATCTAATAAATTTTCGTTAATTTTAAACTGAAAATTTTCAATAAATATCGATAATAAATACGACAGAGTCATTTATTTTCAATCCTTACAAAAATGTTCTCGCTGTTCAATGTACTTAGCTTTAACATCCTTGATAAAATGCCTCAAAACGATCATACGATGATAAGATGATGCCTTCCAACAGTGATATCATACGATAACTTAATCATTCTGAATGATCTGTCAGTAAATAATTTTAAGTTTGTTTTAAACATGAGCATAGGCAAGCATACAGAATTTTGTGCACACTCAGATAAATTTGATTAAAGCATTAATAAAAAAAGACAGATATAGAGCAGCGAATTAATTACAATAAAAATAAGAGGAAAGTTTGTTAGTCTTTAAGATCCAAAAACGGACTTAAATATTTTTTCTAATAATTATTAATAAATGATATAGAAATAATGGAAATGGAAATGCCTGCCAAACTTTCATGAAAAAATATGTTTTTTAAATTTATGAAATTGTATGAAATAAAATTTAATTTATAAGAAAAGCAAAAGGCATTGCTATTTCGTCGAAATAAGCATTTGGGTTTGTTAGCTTGTTTGACCCTGTCTGGTTTTTTTTATTGAGCATCTGTTTTTCAATCACTCAAGTTCAAGTAACAAGCAAATCTGAGCACAAATCTCAAAAGTCAAAGCGTACTCAACTCATCATCAAAGTTGGTGAGAGGAGGTACAAGTTTGATGGCTGAGTTAATTTTTAAAACAGAAAAAATTTCGATAAATCATCATAAGATAAAATAAAAAAGTAAATCGTGAATGAACTAAGTAGCAGTTCAATCAATTAGTTTAAGTTAACTGTTTAAGTGTTAAGTAAATTGTAAATACTAAACTCTAAATACTAAAATTTTAAGTTCTAAAAATCAACGCTCATTCGCAATTTGCAATTTTACATAAATACCAAAGATAGTGAATCTTATTTGTTCCTTAATAGTTCAGCTGTGAATCTAATTTAACCGTCGTCAGGGAGGCTGCAAAATTGTGGATTTAAAATTTTTGATTGAGATTCTAAAGTGTTTTTTAGTTAGGATGTTGTCGTCCGGGAGTACTTTTCCAGCTCTGTAAGATTGTTATTTATTTTGTAAACATTTTATTTTATTCTTTGTCTTTTCCTAAAACATCTTTCACTACACTATAGTATAATAGAGTTACTATAGAATAGACAGAAACTAGTCAATGTGCTTTTTTATCCTCATGGCTACAGGTACAGGAATTCTAGGCCATTGTTGGTATTTCTCTCTACAAGATTTAAAGCCACCTTAACTTATCCTTGCCCCCAGTTTTGTGAAGAAGATGTTAGTCGTACAGGTAGGGTAGGTAATTATTAATTTTAAATAACTGACTGACATTATAATATAAATATAATGATTCATTATTATTATATTATTATTTATTTTTTAATTAACATTAATTTTTCATTTTATAAATCATGGAAAAATTTAACCGTATGATTTGTTATGTTGTGATTATTAATTTACTCAACATAATTTGATTTGAGGTTATGTCAAATGTCAGGTAGAGAATCTCGATGTTTACCTACTTTTTTTGAGAGTTTGTCAATCTTTTTATAATTAATTATAAATTAATTTATTAATTATTTCAGGAAAATATCTCCCGTGGAGAATATATAGTTTATTATTTAGCAGTAGAAGAAGTCATTTCGAGATCCACGGAGTCAAATCTCATTTTCTAGATCTCTACAACCTAACACATGAGAAGCAATACATGACCTTTTTCGTTTCATCGAGAGTTGAAATATCTCAAGAGTTCTACAGAGTGGTTGCTGATCTGTTCTTCAAAAGACCAGTCCCATATGAATCTCTGGATGTTATAATGAGGATAGGTTATGTTGGCAACAAATCAGCCAGCTTGTATTCCTGCTTAGAATATGATAAATTCAACTACAAAACCCATAAGCCTGGCAGACAGAAATCTATCGATTGTATCAAAATTGGTAAGGGAAAGGACAATGAAAAAGAGTTGGGCCAAGATTCTTCTCATCATTCCATACTAGCTAGTAATATAACTTCTATGGTGTTTATGGATGGCGTTACTAGACAATCAGAAAAACCTCCTCAGTGGTGGATTGATAAGTACAAATACAGATCTGATGATAGACTTAAACTCGTTAATCAAAAGTTTTCAATTCCTCAAGATAAGAACGTTTTTAGGCATCCGGTTAGAATTTTATACAATGATATAGACTTCTATAACCACACAAATTACAAATCGTACGTTTGCTACTGTTTTGAGATTGCCAATCAGGCTGTCAATCATAAATTTTTTCTCGATGGTTTCAACAGCAGTGGAGACATACTAAATAGGGAGGTCAAACTAATTGAGGTGTCCTATTTTGGGGAGAGTGTGCCAGACGACGTGCTTGAAGTTAGCATGTGGATTGATCCAAATGATGAAAACGTTTTGAAGTTTTCGTTCGATCGTTTGAAGGATACAGAACGATATAAGGCTGGTCTTGTCTGCCAGGCTACTGTTGGCTTCCATCCAACGCTACTACCTTCATGATTGCTGGATATTTAAAATTTTTTAAATTATATTTGATTAAATCAACAAGTTTAAATGCATCTTTTTAAATTTCCAATTGTAATTTTTTATTTTTATTTTCAAGTTACATTTTGAAAAAGTAAAGTTGTTATAAAACAAGGAAACGAAACATTTATTAAATACGAGATTCCTATCATAATGCCAGCGCAGCATATATTCATTCTATTAAATATTAGCAAAAATAACATTAGTTATCATTAGATATCATTATCATTTGTAATGTACTAGGAGTAGTAAACATTATTATCACCAATTAAATTTAAATGTTTGTTTAATGTTCAATTCATTTTATTTATTTATTCATTTATTTTTTGTAATTTAAAGTATTAGGTAATTTTACAACCGTTGAATTAGTGTCAGTGAAAAAATTGACGTTATTTGCTATGAGTTTATAATTGTAGTATTTTTGCATGTATTTATATTAGTGTTTTACGTGTCTCTCTCTCGCTTCCTCTCTCTTTCTCTCTCTTTCTCTCTCTCTCCGTATGTGTGTGTGTGTCTGTGTGTGTGTGACATTTAAGATTGTGATTAATTCAATTTTTGTATAATGATAAATGCTTCAACGTCTTCAATAAAAAAAATTTCTTTTCATTTTTGTTACCTTGCAGTATTTATTGATTGTTTATTTTACTTCTGTGTGTGTACCTATCTGGTAAAATATTCTAATACATGTGTGTATGTGCATATGAAATATATGTATCGTGTATCTATATATTGTAGTCATGTGATAGCTTATTGCACTGGATATCTTATATCTGCATCGTACAATTTTTTTTGTACTCAATTTTGTTCATTTTTTTGTCAGCCGCCAGTTTACTTATTATCAATTTCCAACTAATTTTATTGTTTTGGGTTTTTTTTGGTGGTGACGTCATTGATGTTGTCATCAGAGCAGCTGTGGTTGTCAAAGTTATTTAAGGTTTTGTCCTTGCTATTTTAAATTTTTAATTATTATTTTTATTATTATAATTTTAAGTTATTGTTGTCATTTAAAAAGTGTACTCGGTGTTCGTTCACTTGAATGTTGATATTGTAAACTGCCTATATTTCCGGTTATTCAACAGAGCTTTATCTAACAATTAGTGAAATAATTTTGTTAAGGGCACATGGGGTATTGTATTACATTGTTACTTCTATTTTTGTATAAAATAAGGTACTGAACTGCGTATTTATTTTATCCCACCATGTCGCAAGTCGTTTATGTCTATGTGCATATGAAATATATATATCGTCTATCTATATATTGTAGTCATGTGATAGCTTATTGCACTGGATATCTTATATCTGCATCGTACAATTTTTTGTACTCAATTTAGTTCAATTTTTTGTCAGCCGCAAGATCTTCAAATGAAACAACACTCGCATTCCCAGTTGACTTCTTATCAATTTCCAACTAATTAAGTCTGGTTGTTTCTATTGTTTTTTTTATTGACTGTAGTGTTCATCTGTTGCTTTTATTCTTTTTTAAATCATAATTGTTTAGTTATTTTATGTACGAAATACACGTCGTCTCATTCAAAATTGTTGTACTTAGCAGTGGTTGTTTGGCAGTGAAGTTCTAGAGAACTTGTGTAATGTAATTTAACGTTATTTGCAACGTATTTACTGACGTGTGCTGACATTTTTTTATGCAGGCGTTGTTTGTAGCATTGTACAAATCATAAACCGCTAAATGACTCAAGACAAAGTCATCAATTTTTAAAAGGTTTTAAAACTTTCTCTGAAGTCGTACGTACCTAACGGATTTGGAGTTTGTTGATGTGAACTGTAAAGGTCTGCACTTAATATTTATTTAATAAACCATTATGTTAAAGTTTTGTTCACAATGGTAAAAAGTGGTTTAGCTGGTGATGGACAGTTTTTTGGGTGATTGCTTTTCACCCTGACATGGTTCACCTTGTCAGGATTTTTTTTAAAAAGTCTATTTTACTATTTTTAAACTTTCTTCTATTGAGTAAGTTTGCAGAAATGCTCTATGATCTGTCATAAAATGATTGATTTTGTTCTACACTATTCTATTTAAACGTACAAAATCGAACATATTAACGTGTTCGTTTTGAAGTTAACACATTTCTTCCCTTCCTACTATTCTTATTTATCTCGCTAATTTGATTTTGCTAAAAGTTATAGGAAGATGAGGAACTTAACTTCTAACTGAGAAAACTTCTTAAAAGAAAGATAACAGAAATAATTAAGCTATCATTTCGTTAATCAATCAATCTTCGTTTAGCGTCCATACAATGTCCATAACATTATAATATAATGTTACATAACCAATATTATGCGTTCTTTTCTTCGAAACACATTTCGACATAGCAGGTACCGTAGTTGTTGAATATTATTAAACACGCGTTGGCTGGCGTTCGTTGCGCGTGTTTAACTGTTTATTAGGCATGTTTCAAGTCTGAACTGATAACGTTGAATTCGCACACGTTTCACAAATTGCACGAAGTGTATTTCAATTAAGATAGAAATGGATCGCATGATATCAATAGAAAAAAAAGATAGGTGGTTGAAAGTAGCTACTAAAAATTAATAAAAAGTTAGTCGTTTTTTTTGTGATTTTGCAGTTGTGAATTGATTGATTAAGATAGACATACGGTACAAAATTTTTAGATTGGGTGTATGTACATCAAGACAGACGCGGGCATGAGCTGAACCTATATAATATGTAATTCATGGCTCTTTCCCGAATTCAACCAGTAAGCACATTGACTCTGAAAATATCTGCATTTGGATTTGCGTAGAATCAAGTCAAAAAAAAGTGATTTGGTCTTTCCGATTTAAGAAACGCTGATGCATTACTGTATGTTTGCTTTCAAAAACATATTCCCATCATGAAAATTTGCTTGCTATACACAGACGACCAACTTGATGCATCAATATACATGTAGTGTGTATATTAGTGTATCACTTTATGGTCTACAGTGTGTAGTCGGTGGCCAAGTGTCTTAATCCTATTGATGTAAAAAAAAGTTTATGTTGTATCACTGAACTTGTTTGCTCAGGTTAGCAAGATGTTGTTATTGACGTAAGGCGTGTGATGACCTATTTGCGGTTTTCACGAGGGAGAATAAATTAAGATATATGTCGGGAGGTATCGATCGCAAGGTTAAAGTGAATCACAACGTTGTGTCTTTAACCATTTGTAAAATAATTTTCTATCAAATAAAAGTTTGCAATTTCCAAATTTGGAATAAATTCAGTCCGTCCTTTGTTTTAAACATGGGAATGTAGTCACTGGCGCATGTGAGATTTGCTTTAATTTTTATGTAGTATTTCTTAATAGGAATGTTTGCATGGTTTTGCTACAATGGTAATTAATCATGATATCAATTTTATAAAAAGTCGAAAATCTATTTAAGAACGTTCAGATATTTTTAAATGAACAACAGAAAGATTGATCGATCGATTCGAAAATGAAATCGACAGCTTTGAATGAAAAGTTTTTTTTCATGGATAAATGTAACATAAACTTCAGATTCAGACTGAAAAAATATCGCGTGTTTGTCTGTTTGTCTGCCAGTGTACATGCTCTAATATATGTATCTATACTTGTATATATAACTTTTATAAGCTAACATAAACAAAAACATCGATTAATTTCAAAATCTTGAAAATTATCAATCACTTTGAAGAGTGTGCTTCAGCATGCTTCGTTATCAATCTTTAACATATTTCATTGCTCGAATTCATTAATTTTTTCCTGTATCACTGATAGAAAATATCTTTGTGTTGCACATTTAGGAGAATAGGAGCAGGAATGTATACAATCACATACAAAAGTAATTAATTATGTACAAATGTCAACAAGCATTTGAAGGTACTCTAAAAAACCTATCAATCAGCACATATACAAAAACAAACATACAAAATGTGACACATACGCATGCACAAAAACATGCATACACTCAAGCACATACAAATAAATATGCATGCATACTGACAAATGCACAACAACATACGTACATACATACATACATACATTCATACATGCATACATACATTCATACATACATACATACATAGAAAAAAACATGCAGACGTACAAAAAGCGAAAATAATCTTATCTAAACTACTCGGCTCTGTAGTACCGACGTTTTGTCAACAGCAAAAATGGGCACTCTAGATATCATATTTTGAATATGGGGTGACTATTTTGGCAGGAATGTGTTTTAGGGGGATGTGTTTTTAGGGATGTGATTCTAGGAATGTGTTTTTAGAGATGGGCTTTAAAGATTATGTTATGAAAATTTGAATTTTAAATATTTTACGAAAACCTATTTGACTGATAGATTAGTGTTGAAATGAATACGTTCAGTGATTATTTTGTCGGCACTAATAAAGTTTATTTTTACATGATGCTCTGTTTCTTGATTGGAGATAAAAAAAACAACAGCAGAAGTTACTGAGTATGCTAGCTATCTGTGTGCTGGCTTGCAGATGATCTGTCTCAATTCACAAGATCGTTGGGATCTGCTATTCACACGGGTTATTATTCTCGTTTTGTTTTCCTGTATGTCTCTGTGTGTGACTGTATGTGTATGTTTGTGTGTGTATATACATATATATACATATATGTGTGTTTGTATTTATGTGTGTATGTGTGTATCTATATATGTGTGTGTGTGTGTCTGTATGTGAGTGTACATACGCGTATGTGTTTGTGACGATTATACATTTGACCTTTTAATTAAATCCAGAACACTAACAGTGAGTGAGTTAAATTTATGTTACGTAAGCTAAATTGATGGATATTATTTTTTAAAGCAAAGAAAAAATAGTTGGCGACATCTTATCAAATCCAACAGTTCAATTGGTTTGTTTTCATAAGAAAAAAAATTAATTGAACGTTTAAATAGAATGCTTGTGATAAGGTTAGATAATGTTGTATAAAGTATGATAGCAATTCACGAACCCATTTTTCACTCCTTATCGCTCACGAAATGAGCAAATAAGTG